TGAAGACGGCGCAGAACCACCCCATGGTGAGTGCGGCCCGGCCCCTGGTGGCACGCGGGCGACGGAGACCCGCCGCCTCGGGGTGCATTGCTTTCGTCGCGTTGGCCGACTCTTAGCCCGGGCCAGGCCTGGGGCGCGGGGGCGGCGGCCCGAGCGGCTGACCGGAGCTTGGACTCGGCGCGGCGCCCGCCTGCGGGAGGAGACGCGGCCGTTTGACGCAGGGCAGCGGCTCTGGCCAGGCAGCGGGGGCGGACGTCTGCAGGCGCTCTGTGCCAGATGGTAGACCGTTAGGGCTGGGGGGTCGTTGCGCGCCGATCTGGACGGCCTCGTCGTCACGCGCCGGTCTGGAAGTTTTCCTCCGAGCCTCCGCGCTCGAAGCGTGACGAGGAAGCTCCTCGCCCGAGCGCGCCCTGGATTCGGGCAGGTTGCCTGCAGTCGCTGCGGCTCCTTCCCTGGGGTGCTGGTTGTCTGATGCGACTTCCCTGTGTTTCCAGCTGGTGGAGCTGAAGAACGGCGAGACCTACAACGGGCACTTGGTGAGCTGCGACAACTGGATGAACATCAACCTCCGCGAAGTCATCTGCACGTCCCGGGTAAGTGCTTCCTGTTTATCCCGCCGGCCCCACGCTGGTCTGGCTGCTCCTCGTGCTGCGCTCCAGCAAGCTCGTGCTCCAGCGTGCGGCTGGGAGAGATGTCTGACACCAGTTAGTCTGTTGGGTATTTTCCCTGTAAAGTTTCACACCTGAGATGTCAAAGTGAGCATCTCTCAAGTACAAATTAGTGCTTTTACACGTGCTGCCAACAGGCAGAGGAGCTAGCGATAAACTCATGGGAGGGAAGTGCCTGTTCTCCAAGCTGGGTGCCGTGGCTGCAGGAGGAGGCGTGCCTTGCCTCCCAGTTCAGAGGAAGCGAGGCCCGAGGAGGAGGGCAGGAGGCGCGTGCCGCACAGGGGGACGCGGAGACTTCGTGAGACGAACTGAATCTGCTCGGACCGTGGCTGCCCTGCTGCTGAGTGGGAGGCCTCAGTGCGCTGGTGTTGAATCTGGCTTGGCCGCGCAGCGCAGCCACACTTGGCGCTAATCCTGCCTCACCTTTCCTAGACACTGGTCTCATTGGTGTAGTTCGTATGTGGTTCGGCTTCCTTTTAACACTCGTCTGTCCCTGAAAACCATTTGTGACGAAGAGAAGCGACTCTGCCTACCTGCATTAGCTGCGCTTGCCTGGTGTCTGCCCGCTCTGGCGAGTCCTGAGGACACCTGGCCAAGGGCGCACGAGGGCTTCTGCCTTCTCTCTTGACAGCGCTGCAGGGAAACTTGCAGAGCTCAACACCAGCTCCCTGAAGCCTGCACGATCAGGTGCTGCCTGGCTGGGATACGCCGCGTGATCCTCACGGCTTGTCCATCCTCACTCCCTTCAACGCCCAGCCAGGCTTGCAATAGGAGACCGCAGATGGCAGAAGTCTGTGCGTCCTGCTGACTGGGCAGTGGGGTGGTTGGCTGTGCTGCTTCGTCAGTGCTTGCACAGCACAGGCCGTGTCATTGATACAACAGTCACAAGTTCTTGGGCTTGCAGTGGGGCATTACCGAGTGCAGGGCTTGCTTCGTATCTCTGTGAAAGCGGGAGGATTAGCAAGCTTCCTCCAGGGCACCGAGCAGTTCGCACCTGGAAAACAGCAGCGCCGTGCCGCGCCATCTTCCTGCCAGAACTCTCTACCAACGTCCGTATTTCCTAGAGGACCTTGCGGGGCCCCTCCAGCCCTGCTTTGCTGTAATTCAAGCACGGTTCTATTCTTTGTCTCCTCACACGACAGCGTCCCTGCATCACCAAAGGCCCACGGCTGCAGTGTGAAAGAAGCTCCTCCTGTCCTCCCTGTCGGCTGGCATGGGCGAAAACCTCATGTTTGAATTGACGCGCGCCTGCGTGTGTGATGAGCCCCAGGTTTTGCTGTACGAGTCTGAGCCGGTCCCTGTGGAACAACCCGGTCTCTGACACGGGTCTGTAACCCACTTCGTTAGGACAGTCCTCACACCCACACAGAGCTATTAGTGTTTCCTTTTATTGGCTGACTAAGCTCCTGCCACCAGGGGGAAATCTTCCTCCTACTTGTTCAACCCAGCAGACTGGCCTGGCAGGATCAGAATGCATTACTGGGGTTGCCTAATGGGGCCGCGAGGCAAACAGCCTGATCCCCGTCCCTCCCCTACAGCCCAGGAGCTGTCTGTTCCCACTGACAGCCACTGCCTCTTCATGCTGTGGGGATGGGCTTTGTGCTATGTGGGGGCTGCCCCTGTTCTGTCTGGGGATAGTTGCATGAAAATTACATTTTAATTGCTTCTAAATCTCTTCTGTCACTTCCCTGCCTGTGGTATCCTGCTCCTCACTAGCAGAGAAGTGTCACAGAAGCCTTGGAGGGGATTCAGCAATAGCTTTTTGAGTTACTCTGTGAGGACCAAGGTCTGTGGAGGGGGAAGGTCCTTCTCAGAGTGGTTCCCACTTGACCTGCATCTGGAAGGAAATGACAAAGCTTCAGAGGCTCTGAGAAAGCTTGGCAGTCATGACACAAGCCCCCGGGAAATCTGTCTCCACCCCAGGGAATTGTACCCCAGTTCCAGGCAAGGGCAATATCCAACAGCAAGGTAGCTGCTTCCCAGAAGAGCTGTTTCTCTGGGTGTGGTGGCTTGTCATAAAGCAAGTCTGCATAACCTTGGCCCGGCTCTGACTTTCAGTAGACCACAGTGGAAGGCCCCTTCCCCATTAAATCATCAAGAGGGAGGATGGGCAGGACTTTGGGTGAGAGCCCAGGAGCTGGGTGGTAAAGGCCCAGACCCGTGTTGGTTTCCCAGCCGTGCGTGCTTGTGCCAGAAGTGATGCTGCCTCTTGCTGGAGTTCCTGCAGGAAGTGGGGGAGGCTTTGCACTGCTGCGGCGTGAGAAGCGGTGACCCCCAGGCCGCCCTCTCTCTGTTTCTGCTGCAGCAGCGAGTTGGCCGTGGCCACCCTGCTGTTGGTGCTGACGCAGCTGCCACTTAAAAGAATACGCGCGCCGGGGAGAAGTGGGCAGGCCTCCATGGGACGCGATGCTGTGGCTCCCGAGCTAGTTTCCCGGAACCAGCCGCTGGGTGGCACAGAGCTACACCCAGAGCAGTGAGCTGGGCTGGCTCCGGGCTGCGGTTTGTTTGTTTGCTTTTCAGAATCCAGAAACCAGGAAGTGAAGGATCCTGGTGGGTCGCTGGGGCTGCTGGGCAGGGGTGGGTTGGGCGGGCTTTGGAAGGGAGCTGTTTTCCCGGTGTGCCTGCCTTATCGCTACAGCTCCTCCAAGCAAGCAGCTCTCGGATAACCCCTGTGGGCACAATGGGCTTGCAGCCAGGTCTGTGTCCCTGTGTGGGCCCCCCCGCCCCAAGTGAGTTATTCCAGAATCAGATGTCCACATGCGCTGTGGTGTCCTGGGAGTTGTGTAGCAGCAAGTTCCCTCCTCCATGTCGAGCACGGTACAAGTTAACAAAGGCAGGGCGGGATCTCTTCTCCCCTCCTCCAGTGACATCACGAGCCAGCCTGTTCTGGGCCGCCGTTCAGCTCGGCCATGTCCGTGACTTCCCTTGTTCCCACCACCGGGCCGATCTGGGCGCGTAGGAGCTGCATTCCAGGGGCAGCGTCCTCAGGAGGTTTTGAAACTTTGCTCCTGAGGAAGCAAAAGAGCCAAGCATATCAGGGCCGCCCCAGGACTCAGCTCTGAACCTGGTCTTTGGGCTCTGCTGCTGCAGCCCCCTGTCTCCTCCCAAATGTGCCTGGGAGTATCAGCCCCCACGTTCACCCTGCTCTCTGGAGCCCCTACCAACACAGCCCTCGAGGCCTGCATTAGCACCCTGGACACTGCCAGAGGGATGGAGCTGCTGGGCCCCTTCCTGCTGGGGCTCCCAAGCAAGTTAAAAAGCCCTGGTCCTTTTGCCTGCAAATCGGCCGTTCTAAGCTATCGTGTTTCCCTTCATCCCGTGTTTCCTTTCCACCCCGCTCTTGGTCCCTGCCAGTGATCTGCTGTGTCCCTAGGGTAGTGGCAGAGAAGGGCCTGTCCCCTCCCCCTCGCCTGTCTGCCTGCGTGGTGGAGGTTGTTCCACCCGCCCTGGGGCTGCTGTGTTGAAATGGCAAAGGCAGATGGGGAAGTCCCCTCCCCCGGGTTTGGGGCTTGCATTTATTATGGAGAAACCCAGCCTTGCCAATGAGGCCCCATCATGGTTTTCAAAAGAGTTGTGTCCCTTCCCTGAAACAGTGGGGCGGGCCGGGTGCCCAGAGCAGGCTGCGTGCGCCTGGGGTCCTGTGCCAGCCTAACCCTCACTCTTCCTGCCAGGATGGGGACAAGTTCTGGAGGATGCCAGAGTGCTACATTCGCGGCAGCACCATCAAGTATCTGCGCATCCCGGACGAGATCATCGACATGGTGAAGGAGGAGGTGGTGTCCAAGGGCAGGGGCCGCGGCGGGTTGCAGCAGCAGAAGCAGCAGAAGGGCCGTGGAGCCGGAGGCACCGGGCGAGGTAAGGAGCTGTTTGTTCTTCAGGCATCGGTGGGGTGGAGCCAGGCCCTGGCTGTTGCTGCCCAGCCCAGCTCTGGGGCTGGGGGAGGGAGAGATCAGTTCTGTGAAGGGCCTGTCTGAGGAGTGAGTCCACGGTAGGTCTGTCAGCAAAGCACATTGCCCTGGGGAGGGCCAAGGGGACAGAGACTCCTGCCTCCTTGCCTAGCTGGGTAGGAGATGACCAGGCACCTCCCTGAACTTCACCACGGCAGACTCCTCTGGGGCTGGCGTGTTGGGACGTGTCTGGGGTGAGCCGCACACTCCTGCTTCTTGCCCGAGTGTCAGGCTGTCACTTTATTGGCGCGTCAGCTTGAGGCCGTGAGAAGAGGCTGTGCCTAAACATGCCTGGGCTCTGACTGGTGCAGAGAGGGGTGTTCTCTGCCTCCTGGAGCGCCCTGCCGTTCCCTCCCCTTATCTCTTCGCTGAGCAGAGTCCGGCTTGCCTGTCTGCATTCTTGCACCTCCTCCAGAAGGGCCTGGGCGTGCTACATGGCGGCAGTGCCACTTACCTCTCTGAATGCCCCTCCCTTCCCCCACCCTGCAAGAAACCTGTCAGGGCTGCAGCTGCCGTCGAGATCTCTGCTTGGGGTTCCCTTCCCTGCCCAGCAGTCCCCTAGCTCTACTGCAGGCCCAGGCACCGCTGCCCCCCCATCCTGCTTCCCACCTGTTGTCCGTGGGACCTGGTGAGGCTGTGGGCTCCCTTCTGTGGCCCCTCTGTGAGGCTGCCCCAACAGGTGTCCTGGCCCACGTGTCAACATGGCATAGGTGCCCAGTGATGCAAGCCCAGCTCTGGGTGCTGCGGGGCTGCGGAGAAGGGGTTACACCCTTGTTTGCGTGGAGCGTCTCAGGCTTGTCCCTGGCGCAGCCTCATCTCTGGCTGCTGGTGCAGGGGCGGGTAGGAGGCTGCGTACAGTCAGATGGCTTGAGCTTGGGGCTTGCCAAGGGGGCTCCGTTTTGCAGGAGCTTCAGGCAGCATCTGGTGGAGCAGAACTCGGGCTGCAGCTGCTCCCTCCGAGCTCTCGAGAGGCAGAAGTGACCTTTAGAACGTGAAAGCGCCTTTTTTCTTTCCTCCCTCCTGCTCTGGTGGCCAAAGCACTTGGCAAAGCTGCTCCCGGCTGTTTGGGTAAACACATTGCATGAAGCAGTTCCTCTCATGCCCTGCGCTGTGGAAATATCTACCTTGTGGGGAGTGGAGTTGACTTCTCCGTCGGAGGAGGAGCTCCCTGATGCTTTGTGTAACTTTAATTAGCTTATGGAATATTTGAAAGAGAAGCTTTAGCATTTGCTAATTAGCTAAACAGCTTGGCTGCTGTCACGGAGGCATTAAGAGGGAAGGCCGCCTCACTAAGATGGTAGGAGGGAGATGCCAGGGTGTCATTGCGTGTACAGTTGAAAGCATTATTGTTCTCGACATGGGTGATCCTTGGTCTCCTGCCCTGTTGGCCGGGGGGAGGAGAGGAGCACCGTTGTCCAGTGTCAGCTTCTCGGAGAGGACTTAGCACTTCGCTTGAGGCCCTGAGCACAAGCAGCGTGTGGTAGCTGCCCGGCGAGGCCCCAGGTAGAAGATAGGCAGCCTGGCCTGTCTTGGCCTCCCACCCCCCAGGCCCAGTGTCCGTGGAGCAGGGGTAGGCAGAGTGAATCCCAGAGTACCCGCATTGCTGGCACACCCCAGTAACCCTGAAGAGGGCTCTGGCAGTGTGCCCAGTTTGACACTAAGCCAGCTTAGTTTGGGGCACAGTGGAGCAGCTCTGGGCACAGCTGGGTCAGGGCTGACCGGCAGTCTGTGTGGCTGAGGACCCCATCGCAGTGTCCAGTCACCTGCCTCTTGTCCCCAGTGTAGACAGGTGCAGAAGCCAGGCATAGCCAGGCAGGGGTCTGTCCTGTATCTTCTTCAGCCTGGCCCAGAAAGCGGCTTAGTCCTGCGTCCCTTGGGTTGCTCCACTCCTCACGGGGCGCTATGAGGGAGCCTCCGGGTCTCACTGGGGCGTCGGTGCTCTCGGTCGCTTGTTGCCTTCTACAGACACAGCCCCTAGCGCTTATGGCCACGGCTTAGTCTGCTTGTAAGGGCTACAGCACCCTGCTCCTGTCGACGCAGCAGCCTTGGAATAACCTCTGCCAGCCCCTTCAGGTGGGAGGAGGTGGCTAGAAAGCAGGAGCTTGGGAGGTTTTGCTGACTTTGCAGAGGAGGCTGGGAAATGGGAGCCTGCCCTCTGGGGCCATGCAGGGGTCTGCAGAGCTGGGGGCCACTGCTGCTGACTGGCATCATTCTCTCCCTGCCTTTCCTCTTCCCCAGGTGTGTTCGGAGGCCGCGGCCGAGGGATTCCAGGCAGCGGCCGAGGGCAGCAGGAAAAGAAGCCAGGCAGGCAGTCTGCAAAGCAGTGAGCAGCTGCTTGTACCCTGCCCAGGGACAGTGCTGGGAGCCTGGCTGGTTTGTCATCGCAGGGCTGCCAAGTGTTCAGAGGTGTTGGATCCTTAGCCTGCCGTTAGTCAGCTGAACGGCACCCGAATCGCAGCGCATTGCATCGCGTGAGCCCCTTCAACCCTAGTCTGCTGGAAGACCTAGGTTCATTTGTCCTTTTTTTTTTTTTTTTTTTAGTCGGTAACT